CGTCCCGGTTAAGCATGTGCTACGCATACTAGGAACTATCCTAGACACATATTGAATTTAATCAAACAACGTGAAAGAATTTTCAATAGCTCACGCGATTCTACGAAGTCAGTTGATTTTTTTGAAGTTAGCAGAAAACTCGACTACCACCTCAAGCGCTTTCTAGCCTATAAAGTTAAGAAGCTGGCCGAAAGAGGCAACCTAAAGTACTTAGCTGCCTATGCAAAAAATTCCTCAAGCAAGGACCAGTCATGCATATTCTCGAAGGTCTACATGGGGAAAAGTACACAACAGATAAGGATAAAGCGGAAGCTCTCGCAGACTACTTTGAAAGCGTTTTCGTTCCTGATTCTGCGGTCGATCTAAATCTTCCTCCCATCACGAACGAGTGTCTCAAATTCCCGATCATTGCCCCGCAAACTGTGTACAAGCTTTTGCGATCCCTCAAACCTGGATTTTCCTTAACATCTGACGGCCTACCGCAATTCTTTTTCAAAGCGTTTGCGAAAGAGCTCTCCGAACCTCTTACTCATATGTACAACATTTCATTTCTTCTTGGACAGGTCCCATCCATATGGAAGCATGCTATAATAACTCCTATCCCCAAGACAAAAGATTCTAAGCTCATTTCTAGCTTCAGGCCCATTAGTATACTGCCCACTCCGCTAAAAGTTTTGGAGAAAATAGTCAAAAGCTGCTTACTCACATGGGTACTGAAACTTCAGTGCATTCCTCTTGAGCAGCATGGTTTCCTCCCTGGCTCTTCCACTTGCACACAACTCATAGACTGCACTCACTTCTGGATTGAAGCGCTCAACTCCGGGCAAAAAGTTGGAGTTGTGTACTTTGACCTGACAAAAGCTTTCGACAGTGTGAGTCGGTCTAGCCTCCTCGCAAGACTTAAAAGCATGGGCGCTCAAGGGAATGTTTTTCAATGGTTTCTGTCCTATTTGAGTGGCTGGAATATGAGGGTACGCACTACAAATTATGTATCTGCACCTAGAGACTGTACTTCAGGTGTTCCGCAAGGGGGTAGTCTATCCCCTCTCCTGTTCCTTATATACACTTACGACCTCGTTAACTTCCTGAAGATTGACCAAAAGCTCCATGTTGCAGCTTATGCAGACGACATAAAAGTGTCTATTGCCTATGATGACAAAAGTAGAGATAACGCCCAAAAACTTCTGAATAAAGCAGTCGAGAATATGCATAAGTGGTGTGCTCAATGGGGACTCAGGATTAACCTCCAAAAAAGCCATCTTTTCTCGTTGGGAAGCCCACAGCTTGAAATACGGTTTCCTGATGGGAGTCTAGTAACACCAGTTAACAGTATCAAAGATCTTGGTGTCAAATTATCGAATGACTTCAAATGGCGTACTCACGTTCATGACACCTCAGGTAAAGCGCTCAGGCTTGTCCACCTGCTTTTCAGAAATGTGCATACCTCTGACATCTCTACGTGGGTTAAGCTTTACAAAATGTATGTTCTTCCGATAACTGGATACTGTAGCTGTGTATGGAGCCCTTCATTGAGAAAGGATGCTCAAGAAATCGAAAAAGTTCAGAAAACATTTACTAGGATTCTTTTCTACAGAATTTTTCCCGAACAATAACTATCCGCAAGCTCTGCCATCGTACCAGGCTCGATTGAAAAAACTTAAATTAAGGAGCCTTTTTTATAGACGCATTCAGTCTGATTTAATCATGGCGTTCAAACTACTTAAGGGAGAGCTACGTATTAAGCCTTCTAAATATTGGACGTTCAGACCAACTTCCGGGCGACGAGGCACTTTTCGTTTCTACAACATCAGGATGGGCAAATGGCGTCGTGAACTACGAGCTCACTCATTCATACTGCGAACGGCGAAGTGGATTGAGTCGATTCCTTCTTGGTTGATGGAGCTTGAAGATTCGAAGCAGTTCAGAAACCACATCAAAAAAAATCGATATTGATAGAATTTAGGCCATTACGGCTGATATCCACTGAAATTTCGCATCGTCCACTACTTCATCTGTCTTGTTTAACTTCGAAATTCCTGCGGGTGCCCCTTTACAGATCTACTGGTTCTCTTGAGGTATTCCATCCTCCCAGACTTACCAGCACAGAAGCGCTCTCCAAAATCCTGTCTCGATACTGCTGTTAGGAATCAATACGAGTAGTACCTTATCACCGTTAGGCAGCGTTCACACTTGTAGCGCTACAGCGTCGCGCTACAGCGTCGCGCTACTGCGTCGCGCTACAGCGTCGCGCTACAGCGTCGCGCTACAGCGTCGCGCTACTGCGTCGCGCTACAGCGTCGCGCTACAGCGTCGCGCTACAGCGTAGCGCTACAGCGTCGCGCTACAGCTGTAGCGCTACAGTTGTACCGAACTCCAGCTTTTATGTTTTTTCTTTCTATATCATCCTCTTCTCTTCGTTTCTCATATTTATCTGATAGTGAGCTCCTGTTTTCTACTTTATCACATTTTGATGTAGTTTTTGATACAGAAGACTGTGATAATGGTTTTATTTATCATTTTTGACTTTAATTATTTGGTTTCACAGTTGCTTGATGTTGATGGCTTTGCTTGATGTCTTGCAGTACTGCCTCGTTTTGATCCCGATTGCGAAACTACATTAAAATGTGATAAAGTAGAAAACAGGAGCTCACTATTAGATAAATATGAGAAACAAGAGAAGAGGATTGAATATAGAAAGAATGAATACAGAATCCTATGCCGCTTATGGATTACGAGGATATCTCGCTTTTCGAATTTGCCCCAATCTCTGCCTGGATCGACAGGAAAAACGATTCATGACCCGGTTTTCTCGATTGTTTATCTGTTTTCCATGTGCATATCCCAACAAGCGTGCTGCCAGAAGAGTTTCTTGTACTTTTTTTGGCCCAGGAGCGTAAAAATGGCCTTATCTCCCACAACAGGCACGCGAACACTGTCTGGTCACCAATGCGTTAAGCACAATGCAAACAAGAAGTTCCTTTATGATGGATATCTTTCTGTGTGTGCGAAAAAAACATGGACGTGTTGCGGCCGCTCGTTTTTACGACCCAGTTAAGGTGGCCGCGAGTACTTTGGGTCGTTTTTTGGTCAGAAAATGCTGCTTAAATATGGACAGAGAGGACACTGTTCGCGCTACAAGCCAAGTACTCAGAAAAGTTTGACTAATGGAGCTAACTGTCCAAGCATGGTCAGCTATTAGGTTGCGCCTGAATAAGTATATGCGCGGTTTTTTTTCATTTGAAAATTTGTGGTTCCAAAAAGTGAGTATGAAAATTTTTGCAAGCAAGCTTAATATCGTTTAATAGCAAATTTCTCGTAGTATTAGAATATCAAATTCATATTCAGTTAATTCAACTATTAGCATGAAATTTCTAAATAGAGGCAGTTGTCGAAGGTGCTAATTTTCGGCGACTTCATCCAACTTCAACGACTGAAAAATCCACAAAAACTATATCCTCAACCAAAGCTTTTTTGATATTCTTATACTAAGAGAAGTTTGCTATTAAACGATATTAAGCTTGCTTGCAAACCAGTTCACTTTTGGAACAAATTTTTCAGTTGAAAAAAACGGCCATTACTTATTAGCCAACCTAATAGTTACAGCTGCATCAGTCTCACCTTTCCGTGAATTTCTCAAGAAAACTCCAAGACAGACCTTCCCCTTTTCTACTAAGACTTAATCATCCTAACGTTGGAAATTGCAGTACGTTGCGAAGCGGTGCTGTAGCGCTACGGTGTAGCGCGACGCTGTAGCGCTACGCTGTAGCGCGACGCTGTAGCGCGACGCTGCTGCCGACGCTGCTAGCGCGACGCTACTAGCGCGCGACGCTGCTAGCGGACGCTGTTTAGCGCCGAGCGCAGTAGCGCGACGCTGTAGCGCGCCTGTTAGCGCGACGCTGCTTAGCGCTCAACGTGTGACGCTGGCCTTAATACGTGAAATACCAAGATATTCGAGTGACGGCGTGACGCACACCTCTGATTTGTATGTGACGCTCATCTAGCTTGCCGTTTCCACGTGGGAAGTCGGTGTACCCGTGTTTCGGAGTCTCGGTAAGCTCCTATGACCCCGCAAGTGGCGACTGGGCATCTTGGCCGACAGATGCAGTGGGTGGCACATCCGATCATGAGGTGATGCAATGCCCTTGATACTTCCTATATGAGATGCGAAGCTCCTGATACTTCTTAAATGGTACTCATAACCTTTGTCCCATAAACACCAACACACGCAATATCCAAGCGCACTTCTTGGCTAGTAAGCCTTTCGACTATCAAATTATTTATCATTTCGGCTATCCCTATTCTGTCCTACGAGGGTATCTAAGTCATGCCTACGGACGCTAAGTGTTTGCCTAAGGTCTTTCTGTGTTGTAATCTCTGTTTAAGCTGAGTTTTTAATTTATATCTTTCCTTAGTCAATACTACGTGTTTCACCTACTGACCTGCTATTATTGAATGACCTTGGCGCGTCCGGTGGACGCAGAATAAATAAATAAATAAATTTCGCCCTTTCGTGCTGTATCCATGGCGTTCCAATACAAGCAGACAGGGAGACCGACAGATCGGAAGGGCGCAAATATTTTGAGCCTGCCGCCCAGGTCGACTGTCGCGGAATGCCTGCCCAAACCTCGACTCCAACCAGCGAGCCACCACATTGCCTTAAAAACAAAGAAGAAGGATACCTGTTCTCGAAAATAATTCCTCAGTGAGCCAGCAATTAACGAGATGTATAGCTCAGAGGTGGTAGCACGTAGGAGTTTTTCGGCCCTCATAACCGTTCAGGGACTGCTGTGCAGCTGTCGTCCAACATCGCGCGAAATGGAGGGCTTGGCGAGGCATGTAACTGGCTGTCTCGGAAATCGGAATTATCGGAAATCGAATCAATAAGAGCTGGCGACAATTCGGCAAAGACCATATTCTTCCCACAAGAAAGAAAATCCCAAAAAGAGGAGAATATATGCTGTCAGATTCCTGGCAATAGGGCAAGTTTGGCTAAGTACGACCTACCATTTCTGAGCAACGACGAACCACGGTGATCGTGACGGTGGGCGGACTTCTCCAGCGGAGGGCGGCAGTGCATCTCGGTAATCCGGTCCATTAGAATCGACGACGATCCTCGGTGTGTTAATGGCTTCGGCCCTCTTCTAAATCGAAATGTTCCCAAAACTGCTCATGAATCGATTTATTGATTGTGCTGACCGATTCTTTGCAGGTATGTGATCCTTGGATTCCAGATATTTCCAAACAGGGTTTTGTCCTCGTAATGCTAGTGATAACAAGGAGAATGGGCCACCCACAGCAAACTGAAAACTAGAGTTGTGCAAAAGAATCAAAATAATATCCAGAAAACATTCGATACCAATCAATATATCGATCTAAGATGCCAGAGCGACTCACCTTAATGGTCATGCAGATCGCGGTGTGCACAAAATTACCGAATACATGCGCTTGCCAACCCTGTAGAGAGGTATGAGGTTCCATCTGAAAATATCAGGATATTTATTTATTTCCATACACTCGAGGTGTGCACATAAAAAACTATTAAACAAAATACAACCGTTGAAGGACCGTGGCGAAATTCCAGATGGGCTGACGCATAAAGACCAAGAACCTGAGATGCGCATAACACATAATGATACCATGAAAAGATGAAGTACAAATCGTTTAGTGAAAGCGAAGCTTGCAGAGCAGAAGTAGGACCGGAATAGAACGGGCATCTCCAAAGGGGTGAGAGTTGGTACTGGCGTGGAAGAAAGCAAGAAAGCCTTGGCAAAATATTTTGAATCGGCCCGTGACCGAAACAAGTACAAAGGTTTAGGAGGAGCGTTAGAAAGACGAGGAGATGGGATCGAGAGGGGCCAAACAAGCATCCATAGGAGCATCCATATTAAGTCACCTCCATGGATCTCGGTTGAAAGGTCAGGCGTTCCTCAATCGCCTATCCACTGGTCCCTCTCCCACCCCGCCCCACCCCCCGCCTAACTCCTACCGTTCCATTTTAGCCACACCGTTCCATTTTAGCTACACGCCATTCTCCAATTCTCACCCGCTGTCAGCGATATCCCTTAGCTACAGTGGATGTTCGGAGGCGGACGTAAAGCAGGAGGTCCATCAGGCGCCATCGCACATTCATTGACGAAAACCCCAAGCTTTTAAAGCCGCCCCCCCGCCCCCTGTCCAGCAGGCGAGCGCCCCTGCTAAAATCCTAAACAAAACTACCTATGTAGTGTGTTAGTAGACTGTTTGCAGTGGCCGACTCACTCCCTGGAACTACTTGGATGCTCTCGCCCGTATCCGAAGCATTAGTTTAAGGAGAAACTGCGAAAATTTTTGGATATTTTACCGAAAAAGTCGTAAGAACTGCGGAGTGAGAGGCGAAACGGAGGGAAAGGAGGCGAAGGGAGCGAAGGCGAGGAGGCAGAAGGAGTGATGCGAAGGAGGCGGAAGGAGGCGAAGGAGGCGAAGGACGGCGAGGAGGGGAGGAGAGGAGGAGGAGGAAGGCAGGCAGGGAGCGAGAGAGGAGGAGCGGAGGAGGAGCGAAGAAAGTGAAGAAGGAGAGGAGGAGGAGGAGGAGGAGAGTGGGAGTTCGCTACCGGACGAGGATCTTTATACAGGGGGAGTGTTTTTTAGCTAAAATTCTTCCCAGCGACAGGGCGTGCTCAGTCCTGTCCTCTGTACTTACGAGTGTTGTTTGCTCTCGCTCATTCGATACCTATCACCTGTACCGCTGTTCCTATTGGCACCTTTTAACCCTCATCCTTCCCACACTGCTGGCAGTCCCTTCCAATCAATACATAAAAATTCCTTTCCCATCTATCAGTATCTATCAGGAAGATGCGCTTTCGCAACGTATTGCTGAAAAGAACATTCCACGATGTCCAGCTGGGCGGGAACAGAAAAGCATGACTGATCCAGACAATCGATCAGGAAGAGAGGCCTCCCCAAGGAACCTATCGGGGAGAAAAGCATTGTTCTTATGGTGCACTTTGCTAGAATTAAGTGTGAAGGGAGGAGCGCGCCAATACGGTGGTTCTCGCTCTCCCTCTAGATCAGCCTGGAATGTGCTCTTAAAACCTGTACTAACTTAGGTCCTTTTTTATAGAAGTTAAGTGACATAGTAAGAGAAACGCTCAAAATTCCTGCCAAAAATTATAAAAATTCAGATATAGAAAGCAAAAAAACAAATAAATATGCGAACTTCCATTATTATAATGAAACTTGAAAGCAGCTCGGTTTGGTGGGGCATCATATGGCTGGTACTCAGCTAAGGTTGTACAGTTCACATTGTGGAAACCTGTTGATTCTTGTGAAATTTTGGCTCCTCACAGCGTTTCGCAGCTTCACAGGAGTTTATAGGTCTCACGAAAATAAGACCCCTCATTCAATGCGAACTAACAAAGGTACTGAAGTGCAATGTGGCCCCTCTAAGCCGAACAGCGTCCAAAATCTAAACCTGAGAACATAAGAAATACGATAATTAATCGGCCAAACCTCAAATGATGTCCGCTCATTCATGCAAATGCAGAGTATTCGTTGTACGCACACGAAAGCACAATCGGCAGCTGTCGAAGTAATTAGGAGTGATGACGTCATCAAGTTCTGAACTAATTGAAACCCTTTCGCATTGCTGAACATAAACATGCAAAGGTTGGATATAGTCATTTTCGCTGCAGACGCCGAGGTGTGTCAGCAGGGTCGGGTTTGGCACGGCGCCAGCCCGTTTTCCTTTAACTGTTGCCGCTTGCCCGCTTCAACAACTGGCCGAGATCAGGCTGGCGCCGCGCTGAACCCACTACCCTCCCCCACCTCGACATGCCACAGCGTCTGCAGCGAAAACGACAGTAGATTCGGACTGATGGCTTGGTAGGTCGGCTATAAAACCCTAGAGGTGCCAAGTAGAACGCCCGGTATACGGCCAAGAGGGGTCTGTAGGATGTATCGGACCTAACCTTCGAAAGGTACAGCAGACGAGGTCATGGCTACGTTTTTATCAAATAAATACCATGATGGCTCAGCCCTGCAGGGTTAGATTGGGGTTAGACTGCAGGGTTAATTTATGGTTGGATTTATCTCCCTTCGTAACCCAAGTCGTAATTTAGGCAGACCAAATATGGCGAGTGCAATTATATAACAGAAGAGACTCACCCAGCTCACCATTAAACCCCAGGGTTCTCTATGAACGCGCTCTCACCGGTAAGAGTCATCCTAACCCCAATCTAAACCCCACTTGGGTGGTTAGACGCCAGAACAAAAACGAACTTACTTTGAGAGTATGCGAATACTCAGGTATTAAGGACAGGGTGGTTTGTTGTGTTGGCAATACGTTTTCCTGCCGTTGCAAATCCAACAGATCATTATCGGTTGCCAATCGATAACTGCTGAAACCACTGATCGATCACCTGGCAACCAATCAATACGGAAACAAAACTGACTGTTAGACCCACCTGTTGTCCCATAATTTTCCTAGTTGAGAGCTAACGTCACTGGATCGATTTTTATAGAGATTCGATCGACTATCAGCTATAACCCGTTGAAGCTGTAATCAATAACTGTAGGTATTGATCGTACTGATCAGACCAAACTTACTCCATCATTAAGTGCGTCCATGTCCACACTACCCGTCAGTATCATACCCGCTAATTCTGGAACCGTACCACAAATGGGCCATTGATGCGTACAACACCTGAAGTTGTGAACGGTATTGATCGATATTGATTGGTATGGTGTTTCTGGGACACTTACCCGCCTTCGTACGTCCATCGTCGTGACTTCTTCTTGACAAACCCGATAATGCCTAGAACGAGGTAGACGGGAATACCGACGGTGACGACGAGGATGAACAGCACGGTAACCAGTACACCAAGTAGTTTATGGAACACCATCACCAACGGGAATGACGTCCTTTTCCGTATAATCGGTGGCGATCGATACGGATCACCCCCGGAGGGTGCCATCCTGCAAACAATCGATACATTGATCGATATCGATGGCAAACAACATGAAAACGAAGACGTAAATGCATCAACAACGGCGCGAAACGCTTAAGGATCCAAAAATGTTGGGGAAAGATACCGTCGTAGCGATAATAGAGGCTTTCCCTGATGAGCCATGCCCACGACCTCAGTAACAAATCGCTGAATCGATTGATAGGGAAGGAATTGGTGTTCAGAAGGATGAGAAAGAGTCACCAGAGGTGAGCCATCTTCCGTGTATCAATTGGAAAGGAGCGCTGGGCGACAACTCATAGAACATCAAAA